CATGTCCCCTCTCTTCCCTTTGCTTCCTCCCCCTTCTTCACCCTGCCTCTCCCATTCCCCTCTTATCTTCATGCTCGTTCCCTGTCCCCTCTCAGTTCCCTGTGCTCCCTCACCCCTTCCCTTTCCCTCTTTCTCCCAATCTTCTTCTCTTCTATCTCCCCTCCCTTTGCTTCTCCCTCCTCCTTCCACTCTTCCTTTCCCCTTCCCCTTTGCTCTCCACTCTCCTTGATCTTCTTTCCTCTCCACATACCCTTTTTCCCTTCCACTCTGCCCTTTGCCCCCAGGCCCTATGGTATCCCATGCACTGGAAATTGGAGGTCCTCAATGTCAGGAAGGCAAGAAACAGAGCAAAATCTTAACTCAGCTGGAAAGGCTGGATGAAGATAAGGCCAGGTTCTGAGGATAGCTGGAATCCAGCCAAATGGCTCCTGTAACCCTAGGTACCGAGAGAGAGTAGTAGAGAAGTTCTTGATCCTTGTTGCTGCTTTTACATATGTTGACACATCTTTGAAACTGCAGGCCATGGTCCATTCTCAAACCTTGCCCATCGTGGTTAAGTAATGGGAGACTCTGAAAACTAGGGGCCAGTGGTTTGTTTTGGGGACAAATTAGCACTTAATGATATAACCCTAAAAATTATAACAAACAGACTCGGAATTTTGAGACCCTTCTACAGGTGAGAAGTGGAAAAATTGTCACTGTGACTTTTTTCTTAGGCTGAAGACACTCATGACTATAGAAGCATTGCTAAAATACTGTTTGTTTTGCTAAAATACTCTTTCTCACATGTTCATATTTTCCAGGTGCTCCTAACCAACATGTAAGGAAGAGCGAATTGAAGTGTAAGACGATTTATTTCTTCCACCACCCTAATATCCTGCTGTCAATCCCACTGTACTATAAGATATCACCGGATGGTGGGCATGAAAATGCTCATGAAGAGGCTGCAATGGAAGAGGAGGAGAAAGAAAACGAGGAGGAGGAGGAGGAGGAAGAGGAGGAGGAAGAAGAGGAGGAGGAGGAAGAGGAGGAGGAGGAAGAGGTGGAGGAGGAGGAAGGAGAGGAAGAGGAGGAAGAGGAGGAGGAGGAAGAGGAGGAGGAGGAGGAAGAGGAGGAGGAGGAGGAAGAGGAGGAGGAGGAAGAGGAAGATGAAATGGGAAACCTGGATGGAGAGTATAAAAAGAACCTAGACTTTGCAAATGGCCCCTCACCCTAGGGATGCAGGTACTGTCTTTACTAACAGTTCCCAGAATATCCCTGTATCTAAAAGCATCCTTTTAAAAATATCATCAGTAAACTAAACAGTTGTTAATTTTTTATATTATTAGAATGAAATTAATACAGTAAGCAGTTTAACAATCATAAATTAAGCAGGAGTCAATGATGTCTAGATGCCTGTCCTTTAAAAGATTGTAACAAGATTACTTACTACAGATGAGAAGTTGTTAGACTTGGTAGTAGAGACCAATAAAAGATCATGCAGTGAAATGTGGCCATGGAAATCACGTATTGTTCTCGTAGTGCCTTTAAGACAGCTGATAACAGCTGGCAAAAATAAGTGTTTCAAGAAATATCACATGCTGTGGTTCATATGTAAATTATCAGCCTAGTTTTAATTTTAATATTTCAAATGACATTCCATTTCTAGACCTGTGATTTTAAAGAGATGAAAATCTCTTAAAATTTTCTTTATCTTTAATTTCCTTAACTTTAGTTTTTCATGTAAAATTAGTTTAAAATTTTTAAATTTCTTAAAATGTTTTTAAAAAGGAGATGAAAATCTCATTTTGAAGAGATGAAAGCAGAGTAACTTGGAAGCTTAGGGACTCTACAGGGTTGGTATGTAACCATAAAGACTTTTGTTCTCTGAGAAGCAGTCAGAGAGAGAGGAAAACCAGGGCTTTGCAAATGGTTGCCAGTAGGATAGTGAGGTCGATATGATCAGATTGGGGAAGCTATCAAACTCATGAATACTCTAATACATAAGGATCTGTTAGGGAAACACAACAGGGAAATATTTTAGTTTCTCCTTGAGAGACAATGGTGTAATACATAGAATTGACAAGAAAGTCAGGAGTGCGTTCTAAGAAAATACAAGTGTTGCTTATCTCTTATTTCCTTCTACAGTTGCAAAGCCCAGAAGAAAGAAGTGAACAGGAGGAAGAGGAAGAAGAGGAAGAAGGAGGAGAAAGAGGAAGAGAAGAAGAATTTTTTCATTAATTTTCTAGTTTTTAGTAATCCAGAAAAATGATTTTGTTCTAAAGTTCATTATATATATGAAGATGTCACCAACAGACATCTGACTACATGGTGAACTTTTATATAAATATATAGGATTACATTTGTTCATATTAAAAATAAAAGTTTGACTTGCATACACTACAGTTGTTTCATGTTAACATCAATCTACATTTTTAAAATCTTTTTAGTTTTGCCTCATCTTGAAAAAGAAAAGCACCTAGCTTACCAGCAACAAATGCTGATGGGTAAGTGTGAACCACCAGCAGCAGCAGCTGGAAATTTGCTACAAGTGTTATATCCTCAGACTCTCCTCCAGACCTGTTGAGTCAGAGATCCTTAAGGTGGATCTTTAGTAGAGATTTCCTAAGTGCTCAGAACACTTGAATCTCAGAGCACCACTGGTTTGCAGCAACAGGGGGAAAGGCTATGTAGAGCCAGCCTTCATTAACTTGGAAGGTGCTATGTTTGTGATTTGAATATCAGCCATGGGCTGAGATGTCGAGGTTTGTTGCACAGTTGAGAGGTGATGGAATGGATAGTAGTGGGGCATTTTTTGGAAAGATGTTATTGCATTGGGAACGAGCCCTGGAAGTAGATATCAGAACCCTGACCACTTGTTCTTTTGCTTCCTTGTTGCCATAAGTCTAGGCAGTTCAATCCACCACATCTTCCTTCCCTGATGGAATGGCTTGTCACCAGAAAACATAGACCTGCTGAAAGGATGTGCTTATTTCCCAGGACAGCTGTAACAAAATCATAAACTGGGTAGCTTCAAACAAAAGATGTTCATTCATTTGCTCATAGTTCGGAAAGTTGGAAATCTGCAATTATGTTGTTAGCAGAATGGATTCTTTCTGGAGGTGGTGAGAAGGAATCTTGTGTTTTCCTCTATGCTGACTCCTGGAGGTTGACAGCAATTTTTGGCAACAGTTGGGTTGCAAATGTAACATTCTAATCTTTTTCTCCATCATTATATAGTGTTTTTTTCTTTCGATCGCTGACTCTAGGACTCTTTATGGGGGTGCCAGTCAGTGAATGAAGGGTCCACCTTTATCCTCTATTACTTCATCTTAACGTTATATATGTAAATGATCTTTGATCACATCTAGGGAGTCTAATAGTTGCCCCTATAACATATATCTTGAAAACAAACTCATTAAGTTGTTAAGGGGAGTCCCCCAGAGATGACTATTAGGAAATGATTTACAGACACTTGGAAGTTTTAATTCTAGGCGGCAGGGGTTACACTCAGGGACCCAAGTGTAGCCACAAGCATTTAGAGCACAAGCCTTTTAAAAGCAAAAGCCAGTTGGGCAGTGGTGGCGCAAGCCTTTAATCCCAGCACTTGGGAGGCAGAGGCAGGTGGATTTCTGAGTTTGAGGCCAGCCTGGTCTACAGAGTAAGTTCCAGGACAGCCAAGGCTATTCAGAGAAACCCTGTCTCAAAAAAAAACAAAACAAAACAAAAAAACAAAAGCAAAAGCCATATCCTCAGTATCTCATTATGTAGCTACATAGGGAGGTTTATGCACAAGCAAGCAGTTTAACAAAAGCTAAGATAAGCAGTTATCTGGAGAGGGTTCTGCTCCAGCAGGCAGTTTAACAGAAGCTAAGTTAGCTGGGGTGTCTTGACCTCAGCCTTCTAGAATAAAGTTAGATGTTTTCCCCCAGAATTCTCCATGAAGAAGATAAAATTCTAGTTAAAACTGAAGTTGTCTCAACTAGATTACAAGATGGAGGAACTTCTGTACTGATTGAAGGAACTTTTGCACTGTCTTGCAAAGGTATAAGCATTGGGTGATGACCATGAAATACAGAGAAAGGAAAAACTGGGAAAACTATAAAACAATCTATTACATTTATAATGAAAGGCATAGACACAAACACACACATACATACATGTCCTTTATATAGTGTTTACCTCTTTTCATAATTCCTTCTGAATGGTGTTTGTATCATTTTATATGTGCATAAATATATATATTTATGAACCAATATGTGTGTATGATACATCATTCAGAAAGAATTATGAAAAGGATAAAACCCCATATGAAAGACCGTGATTAACATTTGTGGAACAAAGGGTAGAACTCACCTGGGGTGGGGGGATGCACAGTGAATTTCAATTCTTTTTAGAAGTGTGCTGTCAGGGTGGATAATGAGCTCACTGTTATAATAGTCTCCATATCTTTTTACAGGCTCTGAACTTTTTCTGAACTAAAGAGGAAATGTAAAAGAAGAAATCTGCTTAAGAAACCTGCCTAAGGAAAATGAGTAACAGAATTGACCTGAGTAAAGGATTAGAGAAGGTAAGGATCCCTTTTTTAAAAATAAATCTGGCTTCTACATTTAGTTAAGGCTGCCTAGATTCCTACATATTAGCTTCAATAGCATTTCAATAGAGCAGTACCTTTCATATTTTAGTGTATATTAATTTTTTAGAGGTTTCTATCTTAGCATTTGGACTGAATCAATGAAGAGGATCCTGAATACCTATTGGAACCTGGGGCTTTGGGCTACTAGGGCAGCATACCAGATACAGGGACTACATTTGAGTACAGGAATCTCTATGTACCTCCTTAACAGTCACTCTTTTTTAAATTTCATAATGTTCGAAGCTGGAGAAATGTTTCAGCATTTAAGGGTACTTGCTGCTCTTGCAAAGGACATGGGTTTGCTTCCCACCAACTATGTGGTATAGTTCCAGGGGATCCAGTATTTGTCTTTCTTCTCTGTAGTCACCAGGCACACACATGGTACACATAACACACACTAAAGCAAACTCTCATTTGCATAAAAGAAAGCAGATCATCGTAAGCCACTGGACTTGGGTGCCTGGAATTGAACTCAGGTCCTCTGGAAGGACTTTACCAAGTGCTCTTAACCACTGACCCATTTCTCCAGCATAAAATAAAAAAAATAAAATGTATCTTTTAAAAAGCACTTCATTAATTAGTAAAGGAGATCCTGTTACATATGCCAAGCAATGCCAGAATACCGAGGAAAGACATTAAAATTGTCAAGAGGCAAAAGACAGGAAGGAAGGAGCTCTTAGGTTAAGAATTTCACTCGAGATTTTTACAAGAAAAGCAGCGGATGGAGGTTGAATAGTTCTGGGTTGTTTATTTTCAGTAGTTTTGCATTTATCTGGTACCTAGCTCTGGGATGACTAGGGCAGAGGAGTATTTCCTCATAGAATATAACTCAAAGAAAAGAAGAGAGAACTTATTGCTTGGTTAATTTATGTATTAAAAGGTATGCTTTGGTTGGGCCTTTATTAACTTTGAGAATTGGCTATCCCGGGGAGGGACCATTTTGTTTCTTCCAGCCAGTGAGGTGTATGACTTTAGCTTTTTCATTTGTCAAAACATTAGTGGTTTAAAAAACAACTGAAAATGTTTATAATAAAACTTATCCTCTCATGCTTAGCATCATAATGGAGAGTTTTAGAGAGTAGAGCAAAAATTTCACTAGGATTCCAAGTATTTTTTTATGGGAATTTTTAAAAAGGCAACATAAGTAAAAGGAATCTCTGCAGGGAAATTCTTAACCACATTCCCTGGTTTTACAGTTAGCAAAGCAAAATAGGTTGGCAGCTTTTGGGAACTGGAATATCTTAGTAGAAGTGTAAGGTGTGTTAGGCAAGGAGGCCAGAAAGTACATGTAAATGTTAATGATGTTTATGGATATTGGTGGAGTTATGAAACAAGATGCCTGATGGGAATCTCAGAGAGAAAAGTGAGGACGGAGGACTCTGTGGAAGGAGATGGGTTGGTTGATAGAAGACAAGTGCATTTTAGGGAGAGCAGTTTTTTTGAACAGTACAGAAAATTGAACCTTAGGCTTCATTCCTGCCAGGCACGTGCTCTTCCATTGGGCTTCATCAGGGTCTCACTGTTTCCACACTGGTCTGGAACTCACCCTACCCAGTTGACCTGAAACATGCCATCTTCCAGCCTCAGCCATCTAAGCAGCT